GTGCAATGATTTTGATTAGGTAGCAACTGAATTCAGGTTGAAAAGCATAAACCTATATCTGAAAGATAGCCTAGTATAATTTATATTGTACGTCTTTCTGATTTTGAACAATTCTTCCTTTATAACATTAGTGTTGAATAAAAGATAGAATCCTTATGAAATAGTGAACCCAATATCTTTTTATTTTTTGAGTCCGAGTTTCTGTTGCCCAGGCTGTAGTACAGTGGAGCAATCTTGGCTCACATCAACCTCTACCTCTCAAGTTCAAGCATTTCTCTTGCCTCAGCCTCCTGAGTAGCTGGGACTACAGGCATGCTCCACCATACTTGGCTAATTTATATATATATGTATGTATTTTTAGTAGAGACGGGTTGTCACCATTTTGGCCAGGCTGGTCTTGAACTCCTAGCCTCAAGTGATCCACCCTCCTGGGCCTCCCAAGTGCTGGGATTACATACATGAGCCACTGTGCCTGGCCCCAGTCTCATTTTAGACATAAGGCAGAGACAGATGGAAAACGTTTGGCATTGGGTGACATTATTGAGCATTGTTATCTGTGGGTTTCCAGATGTGTTAATCTATGTATTTTCTTATTAAGTCCTTTGCATTGAAATGGTGGTGCATGCACTGGCAGCATTAGCATTACTTGTGAGTTTGTTGGAAATGAGGAATTTTAGACTATATTCAATTGAATCAGAATCTATTTTAATAGGATCCCCAGATAAATCATATGCACACAAAAGCTGGAGAAGTGTTATTTTAAGCCACTTCGAATTGGATTTTTATTTACTTGCAACTGGATGCATCGTGACATGACATTCTAGAGTTGTTTTTTTTTCTTTTTCTTGTTTGTTTGTTTTTCCTGAAGAGGTGCAACCTTCTCCAGGCATGCTGTTGTGAATAGCGGAGGGGCGCCATTTCTGATTATGATAGAAACAGCATTTGTTTAGTCATGAAACAGTTTAAATAGTTCTCATTATACTTTGATTTTTTTTTTCATTTTTTTAAATAGTTATTTTTAGATGAAACCTAAAACTATACTCTTTACTACTTGTGGTAAAAAAAGACCCTACTGTTATTTTTGGCAAGTCAGGAGCTGTAACCTTAGCTGTGCTGGTTAAAAGCCAGCTTTGAGAGTTGCATTTTACCTCCCTTAGGATTACTCCTTCCCATTCTTTCCTCAGCTCCGTTCCTATTTCAGCTAGATAGAGTTTTGTTCTGCATCTCTATTCCAGAACCATTACTCTCTGGGGAGTGACTCTTATAAACTGCTGCCTTTTAGACCAGATGTGTGTTTCAGTTACATGAATAAAGAAAAGAATGTCATCCCCCTGCCATTTTGGGAAAATTTTTTTCTTCTACTCTATGTACAAAGCCAAATGCCACATTCAATAAAAGAAAAACATATTTTAAGTTGTACTTCTTGTTTGTCCATTTTTGTAGAGGGCTTAATGAGTCTGCAGCTAGATATTTTGAATGGTTCAATTCACAAATTAGATCATCATTCTGTGATTAATTGAGAGTGATCTCTCTGTGGTATGCTTTATAGTGAGAATTACCAAAGGTCTGTATTCACTCAGAAAGGTCTTAGCTTTAAAAGCAGTCTTTTAAAGGAAATGTAGCTATGCTGATTGATTTTTTTTTATTGTTATTCTTTGAGTTTTTACTGTGCACTAGGCATTATGCTAGATACTGTGAAAATATATCTGTAATCCTTATTTTAGACGTGATAACATTGAGGCTAGAGAGATTATGTAACATGCAGAAAATTTTATAATTATAGGAACCCACGGCTGGTGTTCACAAAGCTCATTCATCCCCTTGAGGACTTCAGATTCTACTGATTGGGAGAGAAACAGCTCACTGTAATAGAGTGAAAAGTGGATTAAAAATTTTAAATGAATTAAAATGTAAAAGTAGAGATGCAAACAATTTAGTGAGAACACAGAGGAAGAAGGTATTAATTCTAACTAGGAGGATCAGGAAAAAATAATTTATCTTTTCTCCTACTTCTCTAGGTTTTTCAGCTCCTCCTTACTTTTTTTTTTTTTTTTTTTTGGGTTTTGATATAGTATTTTATTTAGAGCTATGTTTTACTTTTAACAAAGATACCATTAATAACAAATTTGTTCAGTGTTCATTTTAAACAGTAAAAATGTCTTACAGCTCATTCAATAAAAAATCATACTTCAGGTCAAATGCTAATGTCCTTGTACCTCCTTTGCTAAGTCAATATAAGGAGGAATCTGTTTTGTTTCAAAACAAAAGCATTTGATTATAAAAAGGTCTACAGTTTACAGTTTTTATTGAATTCCAATTCAACAGCATTTATCAAAGGACTTTATTTCTTTTATGGCATTTAACATATTATATAATAAATATTACTTGTTTCTCTCAGGAGACAGAGCAACTTGAGGGCAGAAAATTATGTCATATTCCTTTTTATATCAAGTACCTAGCCATTGGCTGGTTCTTTGTAGAGGTTGGTGCCCCGTAGACAGAGAACAAATGAACAGAAGATCTGTGTTGTGACTAGCAGAGGAAAAAAACTATTATAATTTCAGTTAGTTTTATGGTCAGAGTGATAAAAAAAAATCTATCAAACTGAAAACAGCATTTTTAATAGACTTCTTTTAGGTTATTCTCTGTGAATGAAGCTAGTTTTAAGATAGACAAATGTATGGTAATAAAACAATTTGATGGGAAGAGTTTGGAGCAAGTTATCAGGACAGTAACATGAAAATGACAGATAAAACACAGAATAGTTTACAATTACTGAGTAGTAGTTTATTTAATACTGTCACATAATAATGAATGAAGATGAAGTAACCTTGTCAAAAGGTTGTTGTATTTTACAATATTTTATTTTTATGATTTAAAAAATTTGTCAAAATATCAAGATATTATTGTAGATGGGTACTGGGCTACATAAATAAGTGTTCTGTAGCAGGGGTGAAGGGTGAACCACATGAGAGTGGTTATATTTGGAAAAAATAGTTTTTATTCAGAAGATTATTTGTCCAACTTATTTTGAGTTATAAAGTAGATATGGTCAGTAAATAATATGCTGGTGAAAAGTTATTTGAAACTATACTAGAAAAAAATAAATATATAATAACAATTCCAAGGAACTACATCCAATACTTAAGATAAAATAACTAGCAAGATTTATAACATCCACAAAAAGATTTTCATAAATACCTGTTTTAAATACCTCTGGGAATTATAAGAGACTTTTTCCTACCTTTGCATTTCGTTGGGAGGCATTCCTTAGTGAAAAAGAGTGCTAATACTGTAAAAGAATTGTTGCTAGGATCCAAGCAAATGCAATTGTTAATGGCTGGCAAAAAAAGTTTTTTTAAAAAATCATAAAGTAGCTCTTACTTTACAGGGAAGATTTACAACAATTTATGACTTGGTATATGCTACCTTCATATGTTAGTATATCACAAGCTTGAATTAAATAAGTTGAGTTAAATAACTTGATTATATATTAACAAATTTTTACATGATTTCAATAAAGCTGTTTGAAGCAAAGGGTTCCTTTTAAACATTAGTGAAATAAAGCAAACCCTTTAGTTGTTCGAGTGGCAATAATAAGAATAGTTCTGGTACTTTTATTTGGTAAAATAATTAGCATTTGCATACCACTATCACAGACATACACATATTTCTATAGGGAACATTTCCCTTATGCACTATGGTTGCTCTATTTGTTTTTTTTTGTTGTTGTTGTTTTAGAAACAGGGGTCTCACTCCATCGCCCAGGCTGGAGTACAGTGGTGCAATCACAGCTCACTACAGCCTCAACCTCCTAGGCTCAAGTGATCTTCCCACTTTAGCTTCCCAAGTAGCTGGGAACACAGGCATGCTGGTTGCTCTATTTCACTCACTAATAAAGGAGATAAAAAGCAAGCTGATGTCTAAGATAAAGTGATAACATTTTAGGTTATTAATACAAATTGTGAAGATATAAGTAGTTTCCCGTGATTAAATTTTACTGTGGGTTTATGAAGAGGAAAGAAAAAGCCCACGATATTGATATGCTTGCTATTTTTGAGGTATAGTATGTATTTGGAAAGTAGTTAAAAAGAAAAAGAAAAGCGTAGGAGTTTTGGTTATCAACAAATATGGGAGCACCAATTTTGAATGGAAATGTAAGATTTTTATTATGAGAAAAAGAGTAGTATACATTTATCTATTTGTTTAAGATAAAAGCTAGGTCCTGAACTCTAAATTATTTTATATGTTTTCTTAGGTGAATATAATCACCTACTAGATTTTACTAATTTGAAGTACTTGAGGCTTTACCTAGTTTGGATGACTCAATGGTACCTCACATTCAAATATTTTCAAAATATTTTACAACCTATTTTGAAATCGAATATTCTTATGAGAGAGGCCATCATAATCTCACTTTTACTGGTTAAAAAAAATACAGAAAGTTTAAATTTAAAAACTTGCCCTGTATCTTTTCTTTTCATTGAGACAGAGTCTGACTCCGTCACCAGGCGCCAGGCTGGAGTGCAGTGGCGCGACCTCGGCTCACTGCAACCTCCGTCTCCCGGGTTCAAGCAATTCTCCTGCCTCACCCTCCTGAGTAGCTGGGACTACAGGTGTGCGCCACCACGCCCAGCTAATTTTTTGTATTTTTAGTAGAGACCGGGTTTAACCATGTTGGCCAGAATAGTCTCGATCTCTTGACCTCGTGATCCTCCTGCCTTGGCCTCCCAAAGTGCTGGGATTACAGGCGCGAGCCAGTACCTTTTCTTTTCTATAAATTTTTCAAATCACAGTGCCTGTTATAATTTAATTAATACCAACCCCAGCAATTTTAAGGTCATGTTAAATGTTGGTTAACTCCTATTTCGCATCTTATTTAGAATGCAATATGCCAACTTTGGTACAGGAAAAAATTCTTTTCTAATATAAGTTAAACATATTACTTATCATAAGCTGTTTTTTAACAGTAGTTTAAAAAGACAAAAACAAAAAACACCTTTCAAACAAACACTTTCCTAGGAAAATTTTTAAGTACATAATTCCAATGTAAGGCACTTCCATTCATTTTCAAATAAAATTTTCATAAAAAGTTTTTGTTCTTTTGTCATCAAGTCTTCACAAATTACATAGTGATGTTACTTCAAGTAAAACTTTATTAAATAATGTATTTTGGCATAAGTGCCATAATTTACCTCTGAAGAAAATGAAGGATAGCTATCAAGCTCTGTGCAAACTAAACTTAAATGAAGGTACTCTTGGTCTGTTTTAGATTTATACTTGGCAGTGTTTTATCTTGCTGATCTTGTTCAAGGAGCTTAAAATCTTCCAAAGGAAGACTTCTTAAGGCAGTTGGTAAAATGTGTTCTGATGTACCTTTAGGTAATACATTGTTTGCTTCTAAATTCTTTACCAAACACGTGGCTTTGATCCATCTTCGAGTAGCTCTGCGTTCCTTTTGTAGGCAGGTTTTCATTTTTCTTCTTAAGCTCGCTATTTCTTTTTCCAGTTTAATTATCCTCTTTTTTGCCTCCATAGGATTCCTAAAGGCATAACCGTGTTCAAGTAGTACTTGCTGACTACTAATGTTTGATTTTAAATTAGATGGTCCAGCTGGAGAACAACTGTTGTTTTTCTTCAAAAGATTCCTTGACTTGAGTTTCATAGACTTTATATGGGTACAAAAATCAAAAATGGTTGGAACAGCATCCATTTTAAGTCGTCGAGTTTGTCCTGTTAGGTCAAAACAGGAGGCTTCAAAGTGCTTTGAACAAAGAAAAGTGTGTTTTCCTGGCACAAAATTTTTGCGCCTAACCAGGCAAACCCATTCTTTTCTTCTTTTAGGATCCAAAGGAAACCTGTGGAAGCTGATGTTAATGTGCTTGTTGTAGGTAGTGGCACAGCCCGCCGCGTTGCAATTGGTCGGCATTTCCCTTTCCCACTCATTCAGCGCCCTTAGGTCTCTACTGAGGCGCTGGCTGCTAAGTTTCCTTCTGGCAGAGGCTGGACCCCTCCTGACTTCTTAATCTTTTAATGGTAACGTAAGTTTTTCAGTAATCAAGATTTACATTTTTGACTCTTTAATTTTCTTCATATTCTTACATTTTATCAATCTGCAATGCCTTTTAGTTCTTACTGAATACAGTTTCTTGGTAATTATCCCCCACTATATATTCCCACTGCTGTCACCCTAGTTTTACCTATCACTGTATCATTTAGGCCAGTGATTATCAACCTTTGGTGGACCTATGAATCATCTAATGGTGCTTTGTCAAAGTATAAAGAGATTTTGACTTATAGTTTAAGGTCATGGGTGATTCATCAAAGCTGAGATATCTAGGGCAGTGATCTTCAAAATGTGATCTTGGGACTGCTGGGTATCTCTGGGACTCTATCAGGGATCTGCAAAGTCAAAACTATTTTCATAGTTAGATTAAGATGTAATTTACCTTTTTCATTGTGTTGACATTTGCACTGAATGTGAAGAAAATAGTGATGGATAAAACTTGTAGTGTCTTAGCTCAAATTAAGAGTGGTACCAGCCGGGCGCGGTGGCTCACGCCTGTAATCCCAGCACTTTGGGAGGCTGTAGCGGGTGGATCACGAGGTCAAGAGATCGAGACCATCCTGGTCAACATGGTGAAACCCCGTCTCTACTAAAAATACAAAAAATTAGCTGGGCATGGTGGCGCGTGCCTGTAGTCCCGGCTGAGGCAGGAGAATTGCCTGAACCCAGGAGGCGGAGGTTGCGGTGAGCCAAGATCGTGCCATTGCACTCCAGCCTGGGTAACAAGAGCGAAACTCTGTCTCAAAAAAAAAAAAAAAAAAAGAGTGGTACCATACCAAATTAGTAATCAACGCATTCTTCACTGCCACATACCAGTTTTGCTTAATAATGTCTTCAATTAATCAGTTAAAATTAGTATTTAAATTTTATTTTTAATTTTTGTAAATACATAGTAGATGTGTATATTTATGGGGTATATGGGATATTTTGGTACAGGTATACAGTATGTAATAATCACATTCAGTTATACTCTTTTAGTTATTTTTAAAGTACTTAAAATTATTATTTTTAAATTATTGACTATGGTCACCTGTTGTGCTATAAAATTCATGAATTCTGTTTTTATGCACCCATTAACTGTCCCCACTTCTCTGTCCCAATCTCCACTACTCTTCTGAGCCTCTGGTAACCATCATTCTACTCTCTCTCTCCATGAGTTCAATTTTTTTTTTTCTTTTTGAGATGGAGTCTTGCTCTTTTGCTCAGGCTAGAGTGCAGTGGCATGATCTTGGCTCACAGCAACCTCCACCTCCCAGGTTCAAGTGACTCTCTTGCCTCAGCCTCCAAACTAGCTGGGATTATAGGTGTATACCACCATGCTCAGCTAATTTTTGTATTTTTAGTAAAGATGGGGTTTCACCATGTTGGCCAGGCTGGTCTCAAACTCCTCACCTCAAGTGACCCACCCACCTCACCCCCACAAAGTGTTAGGATTACAGGCATGAGCCACTGTGCCCAGCCAAGTGTTTTAATTTTTAGTTCCCATAAATACATGAGAATGTGTGAAGTTTGTCTTTCTGTGTCTGACTTATTTTACATGACACAGTGACCTTCAGTTCCATCCATGTTGCAAATGACAAGTTCTCATTTTTTTTTTTATGGATGAATATATTCCATTGAGTATACATTTCTTTATCCATTTTTCTGTTGACGGATACTTAGGTTGCTTCCAAATCTTGGCTATTGTGACTAGTGCTGCAGTAAACATGAGAGTGCAAATATCTCTTCAATATACTGATTTTCTTTCTTTTGGGTGTATACCTAGCAGTGGAATTGCTAAATCATATGGTAGCTCTATTTTTAGTGTTTTGAGGAAACTCCAAACTATTCTTCATAGTCATGCTAATTTAAATATGGATATTTGGTTTCCCCCGCACTGTTTATTGGAGAGGCTGCCATTTCAACAATGTATGTTCTTGTCACCTTTATCAAAAATGAGCTCACTGTAGAAGTATGAATTTGTCTCTGAGTTACCTATTTTGTTCCACTGATCTTTGTGTCTATTTATATGCCAGTACCCTGTCGCTTTGGTTACGATAGCTCTGTAGTAGAATTTGAAGTCAGGTAATGTGATTCTTCCAGTTTTGTTCTTTTTGCTCAGGATAGCTTTGGCTATTCTGGGTCTTTTATGGTTCTGTGTAACTTTTACGATTGTTTTTTCTATTGCTGTGAAGAATGTTATTGGTATTTTAATAGAGATTGCATTGACTCTGTAGATTGCTTTGAGTAGTACGGACATTTTAACAGTATTGATTCTTTGAATTCATGAACATGGAATATCTTTCTATTTTTGTGTGTGTCCTCTTCAGTTTCTTTCACCAATGTCTTATAGTTTTCATTGTAGAGATCTTTCAATTCTCTGATTAAGTTGATTTCTAGGTATTTAATTTTATTTGTAACTTTTGTAAATGGAATTACCTTATTGATTTCTTTTTCAGATTGTTTGCTGTTGATGTATAGAAATACTACTGATTTCATAGGTTGATTTTGTATCCTGCAACTTTACTAAATTTGTTTGTCAGTTCTAATAAGTTTTTTTTGGTGGAGTCTTTAGGATTTTCCAAATATAAGATCATATCATTTGCAAACAAGGATAATTTGACTTATTCCTTTCCAATTTGGATGCCCTTTATTTCTTTCTCCTTTCTAATTGCTCTAGCTCGTACTTCCAGTATTATTTGAATAACAGTGATGAAAGTGGGCATCCTTGTTGTATTTCTGGTCTCGTAGGAAAGGCTTTCAGTTTTTCCTCATTCAGTATGATACTAGCTATGGTTCTGACATACAGAACTTCTATTATGTTGAGGTATGTTTCTTCTACACCCAGTTTTTGAGAGGTTTTATCAGGAAGGGATGTTGGATTTTTGTCAAACGTTTTTTCAGCATCACTCGAATTGATCATATGGTTTTTGTCCTTCTGTTGATGTGATGTATCACATTCAGTGACTTGTATACATTGATCCATGCTTGCATCCCAGGGATAAGTCCCGCTTTGTCCTGATGAATGATCTTTTAAAAATATTGTTGAATTCTGTCTATTTCTTCTAGGTTTTATTTACTGCCAGGTAGTCGCTTATAGTGGCCTCTAATGAGTCTTTGCATTTCTGTGTTACTAGTTGTAATTCTTCTTTTTCATTTCTGATTTTACTTCTTTGGGTCCTCTGTCTTTTTTTCTTGGTCTTGCTTAAAGTTTGTCAATTTGTTTATCTTTTCAGAAAGTCAACTTTTCATTTCTTTGATCTTTTGTATTTTTATTTCAATTTTACTTATTTCTGCTCTGATAGTTATTATTTCTATTCTAACTTTAGGTTTGGTTTGCTCTAGCTTCTTTAAGGTGCAATACTAGGTTGTTTATGTGAATATTTTCTTTTGATGTAAGCACTTAATTGCTCTAAACTTCCCTCTTAGTACTGCATTCTCTGTATCTGATAGGCTTTGGTATGTTGTGTGTCCATTATCATTTGTTTCAAGAAAATTTTCTGTTTCTTTTGTAATCACTTCATTGACCCACTGATCATTTATGAGCATGTTGTTTAATTTCTGTGTGTTTGTATGGTTTCCAAAATTTCTCTTGTTTTTCATTTCTAGTTTTACCCATTGTGGTCAGAGAAGATACGTGATATTATTTTAATTTTTTGATATGTTTTGAGACTTGTTTTGTGGTCTATGATATGATACTTGTTTTGTGGTCTATGTCCTTGAGAATGATCCACGTGCTGAGGAAAAGAATGAGTATTCTTCAGCTGCTGGATGAAATGTTCTGTAAATATTAGGTTCATTTGGTCTGTTGTACAAATTAAATCTGATGTTTCTTTGTTGATTTTCTGTCTGGATGGTCTGTGCAATGTTGAAAGTAGAGTGTTGAAGTCTCCAGCCATTATTGTATTGTGGTCCATTTCTTTTGCTCTAATGATATTTGCTTTATATATCTGAATATTCCAGTGTTGAGTGCATATATATTTATAATTGTTATAGCCTCTTGCTGAATTGACACTTTTATATGATGACCTTCTTTGTCTCTTCTTATAGTTTTTCTCTTAAAATCTTTTTTTTTTTTTCACTGATGCAAGTATAATGACTCTTGCTCTGTTTTGCTTTTCATTTGCATGAAATATCTTTTCCATCCATGTATTTTTAGTCTATATATGCTTTTATAGGTGAAGTATATTTCTTGTAGGCAACAGGTCATTGGGGTTCCTTTTTTAAAATCTATTCAGCCAATTTATGTTGAATAGATTCATTGGAGAGTTTAGTTCATTTGCATTCAATATTATTATGGACAAGTAAGGACTTAGTTTTGCCATTTTGTTATCTGTCTTCTGGTGTTCTCCTTTCTTTCTTTTAGTGAAGGTGAGGTATGTTATAATTTCATGCTTTTTACTCTTTGTCTATGTTTTAAGATTTGAGATTACCGTAAGACTTGCAAATAGTATTTATAACTCGTTATTTTAAATGGATAACTTAATACTGAGTGTATAAACAAATAAGCAAAAATAAAACTAATACAGCTGTATACTTTTTCATCTCCCTGCTTTTTAAACTTTTTGTTGTGTTTATCTTATTATACTAAACTCTACGTTGAAAATTTGTTGTAGTTATTATTTCTGATCAGTTCATGTTTTCATCTTTCTGCATAAGATCTGAGTAGTTTATATACCACAATTACAGTGATACAATACTCTGTGTACTTACTATTACCAGTGAATTTTGTACTTTCAGATTATTTTCTATTGCTCATTACTGTACTTTTCTTTCAGGTTAAATAATTCCATTTAGCATTTCATATAGGACAGGTTTGGTATTGATGAAATATCTCAGCTTTTATTTGTCTGAGAAAGTCTTTATTTCTCCTACATATTTGAAGGATATTTTCACTAGATAGTCTGTTCTATGGTAAAAGTGTTTTTTCCAAGAGCACTTTAAATATGTCATGCCAATCTTTCCTGGCCTGTGAGATTTCCACTGAGAAGTCTACTGCCAGAGATATTGGAGCTTTATTTTATGTTATTTGTTTCTTTTCTCTTGTTGCTTTTAAGATCTTTTCTTTATCC